GATAGTGTGTGTTTGTGTGTGTGTGTGTGTGTGTGTGTGTGTGTGTGTGTGTGGAACATGAAGGCGCCTCAAGCAAGTGATGGCTGGCTTCTCTCTCTCTCTCTCTCTCTCTCTCTCTCTCTCGCTCTCTCTCTCTCTCTCATTTCATCTGCTGTCATTCTGCAGTCGAGGATGGGCTGAGCTGCCTGCAGCAATGCTCTTCTCTTGCTGTCATAGGTTCAGCGGATGATGATTCCTCTCCATCTCTGCTCAACACATTTATTTCAGTAGTGCAGTGTCCATGCAGCTCCTCGTCTCTCAGCGGAGCCGAAGCGCTTGTTAAGCATGACTTCTCAGCTGCGTTTGCTTCAGGACTCTGGCTTTACATTGGCCATTAACTGGTGACTCAATATAGCACCAGAACAACATTGCCCTTAAAATCAAATGTTGCTGCAAAAAAAGGTTTCCTTATGGTGTTCGTCTTTGTCTAGTACTAATATCTAAACTTTCTTGAATCAAGATTCATTTGCTTGAGAAGCAAAATATTTTCTGAAAAATCTAAATTCTCCGAAACTATCAAAATTAAGTGAGTTGCTGAAAACAAGAAGAGAAGTATTATTTTTCTAACCCCATTGGTAAATATATTTTCTGGCTTTAAGAAAAAAATTGAAAAAGATAAATTTTTCAGAAAAAAAAAGACTTAATATTTTATGTAATTTGGCTTGATTTGAAGAATATTTAAATATTTGTATACTGGAAAACAAGACAAACATTTCGAGTATGAAAATCATTATTTGCAGAGATGTTGTTTATTTTTTGCCATGTTCCAGCAGTCCATCCCTCTGTCTCTCATTCTCGCTGTCTAATTGGAGCAGCTTTAGTCGAGGCTGCAGCAGGAAGTGGAGTCGTGGGATGTGACCTCTTAGCTTGGCTGTCACTTCCTCCAGGGGTTCCTGTAGTAACAGAGGTCAGGCTGACTGTAGGCAGAGAGAGCACCTCCTCATCCCTCACTAATTATGGCTCTGAACGTGCTGAGATGTGTTTAGATGGGTCGCATACATACAAACATTCATAATGTTCATCCTCATCTTCTTCATTTTTCTTCATTCTTCATCTCCTGACTTAGCTATGGACATGGCGAAGTGTCAAAATACCTTTTTCCCATTTTCAGCACTAGGTCTGTTGTTTTATAATTTCAAACCCAATAAACTTGAGAAATCTTTGCTACAAACCTTTTTGCATTTTTCCAGTTTCATTAAGACATTATTTGTATGTTTATTGAGCCATTTTACTCATGAGGATTGTTGGCTGCTCCCCACAATATATAATTTTACTAGGTTTTATGTGGGGACAATCGGTGCCTGCAATATGGGCAAAACCTGACCTACACACACAGGGCCGTTTCTAGGCATAGGCGAGCTAGGCGGTTGCCTTGGGTGCCAGCAGCTGAAGGGGCGCCAATGAGCGCACGTACTGGCACTTTTAGCAGGGTTGTGATAAAGAGTGGCACGGTCACCCTGAAATATGACTGCCGCCCCCACTGGATCCCCCAACATTACTGGGCTAGAGTACTGTCAATCTGACGATGCCTGTATGCCACTAGATCAGAGTGCTGTCAATTGCTGCCTGATTGTTGCATGCAAAGTTTGCATTTGGAGCGCTCAACAACGCCATTAGATCAGTGGGCTCTGTCAGTGCTTTGGCAAGGTAACACTTTTTTTTGCCATGCAATAAAGCTAAGTTCAAAGGCCAATTTAAAATATTGGTACAGTAAATAAAGTGCACAAAATGCCCAAAGACAGTTGGACATAGTGGTGTATTAGAGGTAAAAAATGATATAAATACTGTTCGGTTTCTAGCACAAACCGATCGTTTCGTGTCTTAGGACATCAATGTGTCGTCACGAGCCGTAGGGTTTAATTTGGATTTGTCTGTGCATGTTTTTTTGTTTCATAGATTTTGTTACCATTGCCATGCATTATACGACTGACAGACTGCAACAGTTGGAGTTAAAAATCTCTGTTTGTGTTCTACTGAAGAAACAAAGTCACCTACATCTTGGATGCCCTGGGGGTAAGCAGATAAACATCAAATTTTCATTTTTGGGTGAACTATCCCTTTAATTTTCAACAACAGAACACAAAGCTCTTCTATGACACAATATTCTTTCAAAAATATTTACGGAGTCCATAGCTTTGTAAAA